CCTTTCCTTTCCTTTCCTTTCCTTTCCTTTCCTTTCCTTTCCTTTCCCTTTCCCTTTCCCTTTCCCTTTCCCTTTCCCTTTCCCTTTCCCTTCCTTTCCCTTTCCCTTCCTTTCCCTTTCCCTTCCTTTCCCTTCCTTTCCCTTTATTTCTTATTTCTATTATGTAAAAGCATATGACATAGGAAACCAGCTGAAACAAAATAGTAGCTAAGTTTTGCCTTACATCTCTGGCTCCCCAGGCTATGTATGAAGTCTAAATGCACACCTTCCACTAGGTGCGTGGTGATCTGAGCGCTGTTGTGTGCAATTTTAAGGTTAGCCTATCCCAACATTACCAAATGTTGGCCAAATCAGCCCTGAAATACATTGTAAAAATACTGAAATCTTTTAAGGTTTAATGTTCTTACAAGTGGGCGGGCGGGGGGGGGGGGGGGGGGGGGAAAGGGGGGGAGGGAGAGAAAGAATGCAATTTATGTGATATGTGGACACCATCAATAGTTGTTTAGGCTCTGAGCTAAGATATAGTTTATTGCAATATGAAAGAATCATTATGCGTTTGTATGTTACTCTCTCTTCCTCCCACATTGCCATAAGGATAACTGAGCACACTTTTGTTTTCATTTCTGCTGTTTTGTTCTGTTAGGAACTTTAGTAATTTACTCATTTTAAAAAAAATAAGGTCATTAGATTTTAATCACAGCTGTCACCTAAGAGAACATTAGACATCGTTGTTAAGGAGACCACAGTAAATTCATCTCATTTCAGAAGGGAAGGTTGTGGAGAGCAAGCAAAGCTGAAATTTACTGAAATATATCAATATTTCATTGAATAAAGTTAATTATGTTATTTAAATTCCTAATTAGAAGGCAAGATATTTAAACAGACTTTATTTGTATGTAACATTGTGCTGAATACAGATAGTCCTTGACTTATGACTGGTCACTTAGCATCCATTCAAAGTTCCAGCAGACATATGTGGGTGGTACTTGCAACCTGAAAGTTCTGATATCCTCCCCTCATGGTCACATGATCACATTTTGTGGTGTTCAGCAGTCAGTTCACATTTACTTCTATTTGCAGCATCTGCAATCAGGTGACTGTGATTTATTACTATTTTGCTAGAAACCTGCATTAGCTTCTGGTTTCTGGCAAAAAACAAAAACACCATTGCGGAAATTGCTTAATGGCCAGTACAAAGAATGTCATCAAAAAGGGTCTGTCATGTGATGACCTGTTGAATGACCAGCCTGACTTACAACAGATCATTCAAAGGGCTCAATCACAGTCATAACATGAAGTTTACATGTAGATATATATTCCAGGTTAGTGTTAGCGTGGGGCACTGCTAAATTCTCCCTTGAATCAAAGTCAGCTGTAAATGTTTTGATGGATACATTTTTGCAGTTTTATTGGTTGCAATAGAGAAGTGGTTTGAAGTATCTTTTTCCAGGATGTTTTGCATCATCTTATCCAGACCTACAGCCGTAATATTTTTTAAAGATCTTATCCAAATACTAAGCTCAGTTTTGTTTAATTTCTGAACTCAAAAGTTGAATAGTTCAATACATAGTTGGAATTAGGATATACATTTTTCTTACTACAAAGACCCAAAAAATATATCAGTGATATCTAATTTAAATATTTTCCCTTTCTTCTTTTCCTCTGGATCCGATAGCATACTTGGAAGAGATACAGTCAGTACGGCGTCATACCAACAGTACCGCAGACCCTGCAATTCCCAATCCCCCTCTACTGGTGCACTGCAGTGCTGGTGTAGGAAGAACTGGAGTGGTCATCCTATCAGAGATCATGATTGCCTGTTTGGAGCACAATGAGGTAATTCCTTAATTTTAAAACTAGGAATTATGGGAGTAAATGGGAATATCCTTGAGGGGATACCTATTGAGAAAGCCCACGAAAGTTTATTTCATGTTCAGTAATGATCCTCACAATGCGCCAACCTTCTTTCATGATTGAAGTAACTACTGGACAAACAGTAATGTGCTTGTCTCAATGTTAGATTGGAAAGTACAAAATTAGGGATCTAAAACCTACTCAAACCAAAATCCACAAAAACTAGCACAGGCCTGTCAAACTGGTGGCCCACAAGCCGGATACGGCCCACGCAGACCATGCCCATCCCACCTCCGCAAAGGCAAAAATCATCCCAATATGTCACTATCCGGCCCGCAATGTGATCGGGTTTGACACCCCTGAACTAGCATGTTTTTTCCAAGAAGATATTCCTAAATAACCTTGTCAGAGCAGCACCTAAAAAGAATATCATGTCATTTCCTTCCTCTTCTGTTTCTTTACTGATATTTAAAGACTTGTTATACAAGTGTCTATGTAATCCAGACAAAAAAAAAAAAAAACCACAAATGCTAACATGAGCCAGCAGCGTGCAGCAGCTGCCAAAAAAGCCAACACAGTTCTCAGCTGCATAAACAGAGGGTAGAATCAAGGTCACGTGAAGTGTTAATACCTTGGTAAGGCCACACTTGGAATACTGCATTCAATTTTGGTTGCCACGATGTAAAAAAGATGTTGAGACTCTAGAAAGAGTGCAGAGAAGAGCAACAAAGATGATTAAGGGATGTGGAGGCTAAAACATATAAAAAACGGATACTGGAATTGGGTATGTCTAATTAAATGAAAAGAAGGGGGTGACATGAAAGCAGTGTTCCAATATCTCAGGGACTGCCACAAAGAAGAGAGAGTCAAGCTATTCTCCAAAGCACCCGAGGGCAGGACAAGAAGCAATGGGTGGAAACTAATCAAGGAGAGAAGCAATTTAGAATAAGGAGAAATTTCCTGACAGTTAGAACAATTAATCAGTGGGACAACTTGCCTCCAGAAGTTGTGAATGCTCCAACACTGGAAGTTTTAAAAAAGATGTTGGATAACCATTTGTCTGAAGTGGTGCAGGGTTTCCTGCCTAAGCAGGAGGTTGGACTAGAAGACCTCCAACTCTGTT